GCGTCCCTCCTTTCTCCCAGCAGCTGCAAAACCTCGGAGCGCAAGAGCCGGGGGAGCAAAGCGGAGGCGAGGAGCCGAGGGGCGGCCAAGGAGAAGACGCTGGAATGCGGGCAGATCGTGTGGGGCCTGGCCTTCAGCGCCTGGCCTCCGGCGGCCGAGGGGGGGGAGACGGACCCTGCCTGCGCTGTGGGTCTTCCCTGCCTGATCCTGGCCACCGGGCTCAACGACGGGCAGATCAAGGTCTGGGAGGTGCAGACAGGTGAGCGGCCCTCGCCCGCTGTCGTGGCTTCAGGCTGGTTTCTCTCCCCTTGCTCCCCCTCGGAAGGGGGATCCTGTCTCCATCCTTCCCCAAATGCTTCCCAAGGGTGAGCCCTGTCCCAAGCGGGGCTGCCTGCGCATGAGGGGCACCGCCTCGTTCCCAGGGTGCCGAGCACAGCCACTCTTTCTCCGCAGGACACCTCCTCTTCAGCCTCTTGGGGCACCAGGATGTTGTCAGAGACCTGAGCTTCGCTCCCAACGGAAGCCTCATCCTTGTGTCAGCCTCGCGGGACAAGACCTTGCGTGTCTGGGACCTGAGCAGAGATGGTAGGAGCATGCGGGGATGTCCCCGATGCTGGGGCACCCCCGGCTGAGGCTGGGCTCTGCTGCAGGAGAGAGGGGGAGAAACCCACCCTGGTAGGGGAGATGGTGGGAGAGGATCTTCGGGACAGTATTCAAGGCAGAAGCGGGGAGTCCTGCGACATGGAGCAGAGCCATCCCCTTCCAGGTGGGGCCTGGGAGGTGCAGGAGGGGGTTGCAAGTAGACAGAGCTTGGGATCTGCCGTGGGGAACCCCCCAGCCCCACGTGCGTTCCCTCTTGGGAAAGGGAGGGGATAGCGGGGGCAAAGCTGGTGCTGCCTCTCCCCCTTTCCTCTCGTGACTCGCATGTCTGCCATCCCCAGGGCGGCAGGTCCAGGTGCTGTTGGGCCACGTGCAGTGGGTCTACTGCTGCTCCATCTCCCCAGACTGCAGCATGCTCTGCTCCGCTGCTGGAGAGAAGTCGGTGAGTCCTGCAGGATGGGAGCCATCCCGTGTCCTGCTGAATCCAGCGCTCCCCTTGGCCCTCCATGTCCTCCCCCATGCGAGAAGCACCCCTATGAGAAGGGGCCTGGCCAGAGCCACCCTTGCTCCTCAGCCGTTCTGGTTCCACATGGAGGAGCTGGCACCAGAGCCCAAGGGGGAGATGCTTCTCCGCTCCCACCCTGGGGATGCTCCCAGCCTCAGCCCCTGCCCGTGTCCTGCAGGCGCTGCTGTGGAGCATGCGGTCCTACACCCTCATCCGGAGGCTGGAGGGGCACCAGAGCAGCGTGGTGTCGTGCGACTTCTCGCCGGACTCGGCGCTCCTTGTCACCGCCTCCTATGATGCCTGCGTCATCATGTGGGACCCCTATACTGGGGAGCAGCTGAGGACGCTTCGGTATGGAGCCAGGGGGGCAGTGAGGGACCATGGAAGGGGGACAGAGCAATGCCGTGGGGGTTTGCTGGGGCTGAGCGTGGCCTTCCCTTCTAGGTGGGCAGAGCCAGCAGCTCTCCGCTCTCTCCAGCGGCTGAAGGGGAGCTCTGACTTACCGGGTTTGGCCCCTCTGTCAGCCCTGGAGCACTGGGGATGGGGCTTATGGCAGCCTGGGGCTGATGCTGGGCTTTTTCTCCGCATCTGCAGCCACGTCCCCCTGCACTCGGCGCTGGACTACAGCAGCGAAGTCCACAGCAGCGAAGTCCACACCAGCTCCCTGCGCTCGGTCTGCTTCTCCCCTGAGGGCCTCTACCTGGCCACGGTGGCAGACGACAGGTAAGTGGACCTCCTTGAGGACCTCCAGTGACAAGAGGGTCCCAGGAGGACACCACCAAAACGAACCAGGAGCTCAGGACATGCCAGTGGGGAGCAGACCTCGCCTGCCAGGTCCCCACCAGTGCCTGGCGTAAGGGGAAAGGGCAGGCTGCCCGGGACACCGCAGCTTGGCTGTGGCAAGGGCTAACAAGGTCAGGGCCCTGTCGTCCCTCTGAGCGATGAGCCGGGGCCCGTGTCCTCCTGCGTGCTGTGCTGCCCTCACTGTGCCCCTCAGCACAGTCACTAGCTCTGTCTGCATCCAGCTCAGCTCTACAGGGGACAGTGCCTCCCGCTTTGCTGCCGTGTTGTGACACTCCTGGGATGCTCTAAGCCCATGGGAAGAAAATCCTACTCCAGAGTTTGCATGCATTCAGGTGAACCCAGAGGCTTTATTTTAGCTGCAGGGGCTGCGTGGATGTGGGCCTGGCATCGTGTCCCCTCCCTTTCTCCTTAGGCTCCTGAGGATCTGGGCGTTGGAGCTGCGGTCACCAGTCGCGTTTGCTCCCATGACCAATGGCCTGTGCTGCATGTACTTTCCACACGGCGGTTTCATTGCCACAGGGTGCGTATGCAGGAAAGCAGAGCGTAGAAACGCAGGCTGCTTCCTCCTCCTGCAGCTCTGTGTCTGCTCAGCAAATTCTGGGCTTCCCTGAGGGTACGGGCTGGTTTCCTGGGCTGGGGAACACGTGGTTGCTGCGAGCTGAGGGTATTTGGGGATAATTGAGCTTTCTAGGGTCTCTCTGCCCTGTGCTCACAGCTTGTTTGGGTCTCGTTGCAGGACCAGAGATGGCCATGTCCAATTCTGGACCGCTCCAAGGGTCCTCTCATCACTAAAGCACTTGTGTCGCAAAGCTCTGCGCACCTTTCTGACGACGTACCAGGTCCTCGCGCTCCCCATTCCCAGGAAGCTGAAGGAATTCCTTACTTACCGGACCTTTTAAGGCAGCACGGAAAGTGGAGGCACAGAAGCAAGAGCCCTCTGCCCGGTGGCGGGGCTCAGCCTGGGTTAGAGGAGGCACCGCAGCAACGACGTCTCGCTGATTCGTGAGCCGTGGGGCAGGAGGATTGCTACTCCCCTTGTTTTGGGGCTGTGTCTGTGAACATGGAGGGATTTTTCGGTATAATAATACTAGAACCCAGAAAAATGCATGCAGAGGGCAAGGGGCACAGCTGTGGTCGCCCAGCAGGGGACACGGGTCCCCCTGTCCCCCTGCTATCTGCAAGTTTTGGGTCAGGTGCTTTTGCCTCCAAGTGCAATGTTGTGGGTTGAAGGTCAGCAGCCGCAGTCTGAGTGGAGCTTTTGTCATTTGTACGAATACAGTGCTACAACCGGCCCTGACAAAACTGACCCTCACCGGGACTGGCTCGTATTGTACCTTAGTTCCCAGAGGTGTGCGCACTCTGACGCTCTCCTGGTCTGGGCACGAGCTGGATAAACCCGAGCAGGTCTCTGTGGACTAGACGACAGCGATGACAGAATAAAAAATTATTCCTCACGTCTTTCCTCTTGGCTCGTAGAGGTGACCTGGGGATACCTGGCAGGGCAGGCTCCAGTGGGCTGGGGCCCAAGGCCTCCAGGCCTCCTGCCACGGCGGCAGCAAGTGCTCACTTGGCTCTGAAGCACAGCAGACCAGTAAGCGTTCAGCGGTGGGTGCTAGGGAGGATCAGTCCACCGTGAAGGTGGGACACGGGGCTTCATGCAGCCCCCAGCTCCCATTCCTCTGTTGCTTCTTCTCCCCGCTGGAGCTCTGCACTCGAGCAGCCCGATGTCCAGACATGCAGTGCATGAAGCAGTCTCGTGTGCTTGTCTCCCTCCAGCTTAGCTGGTGTCTGGAGTGACGGCTCGTGCTTTGAGTCCCCTGCATGCCAGAGAGCTCGGTCTGTGCACGAGCCCAAGGCTGCGACCCCCGCCGATGCGGAAGCCAGGGAATGTCTCCTCTAAACTGCTCCCCAGGATGTTTTCCCTTGCGAGCAGCTGAACGCAGAAAGCTGGTGTTTCCCTAACCTGTACGGCTGTGACCCACAACTACATTCCCTCTCGTAACGGGGACGTCACTGCAAGAAACCACGCTGTCCCTGTGCAGCTTGCAGCGTGTGGCTGCCCCGCTCGGCTGCACAAGCAACGGGGTGGCACAAGCCACGTGTGAGCACCTGGGGCAGCTCTGCCCCGCAAGGAACGGAGGTTTTGCAAGCTGGTTTTCAGCCTCTGTGGGTGCGATGCCTTTGTAATGGGGCAGGGGGTGAGCCTCGACCACCTCCCTTCGGTCCTTGCTGTACAGGAGGAAAAAGAAAAGACAAGTGCAACCTGCTGGGCTTTAGAGGCATCTGTATTTCCCGCCGAAGCTCAGAAACAACACTGTCCGACTCTCGTCCCTGCTGCGGGCTCAAGGCTTGCGAAAAGGAAACAGCTGCAGGGAGCAGCTCCGGGCATGGGGCTGACGGTCCCTTCCAGCTTCTGCGAGATCCGGTGTTGCAAGCAAGGATCCACCCAGCAGGACTCAGGCTTCGGCCACGATCAGGTCCCTGGTGACTTGGAAAGCCGCGATGAGGGAGCTCAGCTGAATCTTTTCACTGGTCCCAGCAGCCAGCCGGTACCTGGAGCAGGGGGCAAGGGCAGGTTTGGGTGTTTACACCAGCATCCATGTCCCGGCAGTGTAACGGCCCTGGCTAGGATGGATGCGCAGGAGCCGTGGGCATCTGCCAACGGTGCCCACCGGCTGCCAGGACCTGGCACAGTGCAATAGCGGTGACCCCCGTGGGGTGGGCACACTGGCAGCCCCCCCAGCCGGGGTGTTTTGGGGCACTGGGCGGGGGTGAGCAGACACTTACTCGATGTCTGCCATTTTGATCAGCAGCTGGATGCGGATCGAGGGTGGGAAGTCAACTGTGGAGAGAAGGAGACGGTGTGTGTCAGTGTGGGCTGGGGGGGACATGACAGTTGGCCTCCCAGGTCCCTTCCCAGGGAGCCAGCCCCGCAAGCCCCTACCTCTGTGCACAAAGAGATGGATCTCGGTGAGGATGTCCTGCAGGGCCAAGCCCTTCAGCGTCTTCAGCTCCGTGATTTCTGAGACGAGAGCGAGTGAAGGGCTTTCTTCCAGGCCTTTCCCTGCAAGATCCCACTCCTCATCCCCGCTACAGCCCCGAGGACCCTCCCCGGCGAGCAGCACCCACCCCAGGCGGAGCAGGAGGTCACAGGATGGGAAGCCCCGGCAAAGAGGAGGATTTATGGCAGCGGGGATTACACCCCAGGGCCAGCGGAGGGCAAAGGATACTGCGATAGGCGGTGGAAAAGTCCTGGTTCAGCATCCAGTCGAGGATGTTGGCGATATCAGATTTGAGGGGGTGTCCCGTGCAGGTGTAGACATTCTCCTCTGTCACTTTCCCGAAGGCCATGGTGGTGCTCTGAGGAAGAGGAGGGTGGAGGAGGGATGAAGAGCTCAGCCCTTCCTCCACCGAACCCTCCAGGACCTCTGCTGTCTTACATGAGGGGAGAGCGGTCATGGCCCGGGTCCATACCTGCAAGATATTGAGGGCTCTGCGCATGTCACCGCTGGAGAGGGTCACCAGAGCCTTCATCCCATCCTCGGTCACGTCCACCCTGGAAAACAAGACCTGGGGCTGCAGAGGGAGGCAGCACTGCCGGAGGCAAAGACAACCGTGGAAAACCAAGCCCCGCTACTCTTCCTCCTGTAGGGCAACGGGGAAAAAGGGGGCACGGACAATGCTGCGGAGCCCCCCCTGGCTCACCCCTCCTCCTGTATGACGTGCCGCAGCCGGGGGACCATCAGCTCCGGGGTGAGGGGGCCGAAGCGGAAGCGCGTGCAGCGGGACTGCAGGGCGGGGATGATCTTGGAGAGGTAGTTGCAGATGAGGCAAAAGCGGGTGTTTTCGGTGAACTTCTCGATCACTGCAAAGGGGAGGGAGGAGAGACTGGTCCTCGTCTGCTGCCTCGTACAGGCTCCCGCCCCCTGCCAGACTGGGAAAGGCTGAAGGGGTGCCAGCGGTGTGGGGTCCCCAGCACCCCTCACCTCGCCTCAGGGCGTTCTGAGCATCCTGGGTCATGGCGTCGGCTTCATCCAGGATGACGAGCTTGAAGCCTTTCCTTAAAAAGGGAGAAGAAAGGGGGTGGCTTTGGTCCCGGCTTCCGGGTTGGTGCTGGAGAAGGGGAAGTGGGGGACGCTTATTCCCACCCTGACCCCCACGAACGCTCCCAGGGAGCCCTCCTTTCCCCTCCAGACCAGCATCCTTATCACTCATCCTTACCACCATCATCCTCCCTGCTTGGAGGGCACCCCTGATTCCTTCCATCCGCTCTGGCACGCTTCCCACCCCAGAAGCTCCCCCCAACCCACCACCCAAGCCGAGCGCCAAGGCAGGCTGTGTCAGTGCGGGGGGGGGGTTGTGACAAGGGGACGGGGAGTTTTGGGAAGCGCAGACCTGCCACTTACTTAAAGATGGTCCTGGTGCTGGCGAAGCTCAGGATGGGCCCTCGGACGATGTCGATCCCCCGGTCATCAGAGGCGTTGAGCTGGAGGGAGATGGCGTGGATCCGCATCCTTGCCTGAGGATGCACCCGGGGGGTGGGGGGGGATGACGGACCCCCAACCATCACCCATCCCCACTTACCTCCAGCACCATGGAACCAAACTCCCGCTCCCGGTAGAGCTGCTTGGCGCAGGCGAGGATGGTCGAGGTCTTCCCGGTACCGGGAGGACCGTAGAGGAGAAGATGCGGGAGCCGATCCTCGCTGATGAACCGCTGCACTGGAGAAGGGATAACGGGCATGGGGTGGTGGGGGGGGATACCCAGTACCCCCCGGTAGTGTTGTGGCAGTGGGGGGGTGAGATGGGGGGGTTACTCACCGGTGCTGAGGATATCCCCGTGAGACACCAGCTCGGACAGCGTCTGCGGCCGGTACTTCTCCACCCTGCACCGGAGAGAGCGCACCGCGGCGAGGGGGGGGGCAGGTCGGGACAGCGCCCGCCGCTTTACCCCCCCCCTCCACGCTCCGTTCCCGGTTGTACCACGGCAGATTCCCGCCACCGGCCCGCGCCATCTTCCGCCGCCTCGCGAGACCGTGGGGACGGGGCGGAGCGGGGTGGGGGGGGCGGCCGTACGGGGGGGCCGCCCCGCTCCGCCCCGTCCCCACGCATTGGTGGTGGTTGGCGATGCGAGGCGGTGCTTGTACTGGGGGGGGCACAGCGCTGGGAGGTGCTGAATTGTCGTTGTGGGCACGGTTTTGGGGAGAGCGTGGCACTGGGATTTGCTAAAGTAAGGCTGCAGGCATGCTTTTGGAGAGACTGTGGCACTGGGAGTTGCTGAAGTGAAGTGGGCATGGTTTTGGGGAGAGGGCAGCACCGGGAATTGCTGAAACAGTGCTGCGGACATGCTGTTGGGGAGAGCATGATGCTGGGAATTGCTAAATTGTAGTTGCGGGCATGGTTTTGGGGAGAGCGCGGTGCTGGTGTTCACCAAAGCAAGGTCATGCTTGTGCTATTGGGGAGGGCACGGCACTGGGAATTGCTAAATTGTCGTGGGCACGGTTTTGGGGAGAGCACAGCACTGGGATTTGCTAAAGCGAGGCTGCAGGCATGGTTTTGGGGAGAGCGTGGCGCTGGGAGTTGCTGAAGTGAAGTTGTGGGCATGGTTTTGGGGAGAGTGCGGCGCCACGAATTGCTGAAACAGTGCTGCGGACATGCTGTTGGGGAGAGCATGATGCTGGGAATTGCTAAAGCAAAGTTGTGGGCATGCTTTTGGGGAGAGCGCGGTGCTGGCGTTCACCAAAGCAAGGTCACGCTTGTGCTCTTGAGGAGGGCACGGCACTGGGCATTGCTAAATTGTCGTGGGCACGGTTTTGGGGAGAGCACAGCGCTGGGAGTTGCTGAAGTGAAGTTGTGGGCATGGTTTTGGGGAGAGTGCAGCACTGGGAAAGGCTAAAGCAGGTTTGCGGATGTGATTTTGGGGAGAGCGGGGTGCTGGGAGTTGCTAAAGCAAGGTTGTGGGGACGCTCCTGGGGAGGTTACGGTACCAGGAATTGCTAAAGTAAGATTGTGGTGCTTTTGGGGAGAGCGCGGTGCTGGTGTTCACCGAAGCAAAGCATGGTGCCTGTGCTTTTGGAGAGAGCGCGGCACCAGGAATTGCCGGAGCAAAGTTGTGACCATGCTTTTGGGGTGACCCCGCTGTTGGAAACCCCGTTGGGTGAGAGGGGCACCTGAAGGCTGCAGGCTGGGGCCAAGGGCAGCAGCTCCGGGGGCTGCCTGGGCGCTGGAGGAGAGCAGACCTGCTGTGGTTCACCCGGTGTGACGGGAGCAGCAAACTGGAGAGGTGGCTGCGAGGAGGATGACGCCTTTATCCCCATCCCTGCCGCTTCCCGGTGCGTGAGAGCAGCCCGAAGTTTTGCAGGTCTCTTTTTTTTCTGGTTGACTAACTTGAAAAATCAACCCCGTCTCCCATCCCTCGTGCTACCAAAGCTCTTGGCTGAGTAACGGGGGTGTCTCTGCCGGGGGCCGGGTGGCTCCCAGCTATTCCTGGAGGTGCTGGATACGGCCTTTTCTTTCCAGAGTTGCCTCCAGAGGAAGAGGCATCCATGCTATTTCACGCTGGGCTTTGGCAAATGGCTGGAGCCTCCTTAGAAAACTGGCTTAGAGGGAAAAACAGCCTAAGCTGGCTGGCGGGGATGCTCAGGCGCTGCTCCGGTTTACATGCCATGGATGGAGAAAGGAAAGCCGGGCTGTGGTGAGGGGCTCTGGCTGGGAAAGTGCAGGCGGAGAGGTGATGGGAAGAGATCTGTTGGGAAGTAGATGTGATGGGCAGTATATTGGGGGGGAAGAAAAAAATCAGGGGGAAATCCTTTTGCTGGCAAGGGAAGGGAAGGGAAAACATCAAGAGCTCCAGGTTGAATCCTGTAGAAACCCAAAAAGCTGCCAGAGGGCAGCTGCTTTCCTATTTTTTTTTTCCCTTTTTTTTCCCCCCAGCCCCATGAAAGAAAGCAGGAGCTCAAAGCTGAGCTCAGCAAGCCTCAGCCATTCCTCTGGGCGCATGATGGCCGTGACAGATGGCCCTTCCGATGGCAGGCGAGGAGCTGCGAGGTCCTTCCCGAGCACCCGGACACCGGCTGAAAGGTGCGACCTGGAGCCCTGACGGGCTTGGGCTTCTCCCCTACGTAGCAAGTCCGGAGCTGCTCTTCTCTCCTCGCATCTGCCTTTGCCTGGGGGCAGGCTCTTGCCCTTCAAAATGGATTTTTCCAGGGGTTTTCTCCCCCACTGTGCCCCATCATTAATAAATCTTGAGCTCCAGACCAGGCAAAATCTTTGGAGGGGGCAGGCAAATTCTTCTGCCTGCGGCCTGTGTGCACGCTCAAATCCACGGTGATATCTCTCATGAGCAATTTCACCTCTTTCTTGACCAGATTGCTTTAAAGATTATTTATTTTTTTTAAATTAGTCATTATTTACTATTGTTATAATTGATGAGTGCATCCCCCTGCAATGATTCTGCATCGTTAGGACTGGCTGAATTATTAACCAGTGTCTGAGCTGTCTGTCCTGGCTTATTTACCTGTTATATCTCTTGGGTAAAGGACCGGCAGGTCGCATCCGACTTGGTAGACAGAGCTAGAAATTTATAACTCTGTCGATAGGTTCGTTAACAGCCCTGAGGCATCGGGTGCATCCCTTTGGAAGAGGACGAGGGAATTCCAGGTAGATGGTGGCAGAGATGATGGCGGCAGAGATGCTCTTTCGCAGGGAAGAGAAATGGGGGCTTCTTGGGAGGCAAAATCCAAGAGATGGACCCATCCAGCATGGAGGTGGAGATGCTGTTCGGTATATTAATAATAAAGAAATAAAAATGCTAATATCAGAAAGACTCCTCACATGCGGAGTGGCACCTGGCCTCTAAGAGGAACGGAGACAACCCTGAATTTAAGGGGTCAGCAAGAAGCCAGAGGAACGATTTAGCACTCATGGCTGATGGTCAATGGCACGTAAAAGCCTCGTGGAGTCATTTAGGGGGGGGATTTGGTGGGAAAAGCCTCGTGTGATGCTGCAGGGATGCACGAGCCAGTGAAGGGTTGGTTTCACAAGGGGGGATTTGGCTGGGTTCTCCTGATGAGCCGGCCCTGCCAAGGGGATGCCCTCTCCTTTCCCAGCTGGATGCTGTGTGCCGGCAGAGCATCCTCCTCGTTAGGCGCCGTGTGAAAATGAACCTGGTTTCAAGAGACTTCCCATAGCTTCATGCTCACAGACATGCAAGAAAACCAACAAAGGTGAATTAAGTCATCACAAGATACATTCTATATGAACTGATTGTGCCAAAAACAACTCATGTTTAAGAAATGGAGTAGTTAATGTTGCTGAGTAACAACGCACACAGCTAGCCTGCGTACGGAATCCAGGCGGCTGATAAGAAAGGAAATGAATAATTCAAGCTGTCCAAGGCTGTAGAATAGAAAAACACAGATTTTCTTATTGATTTCGGGGCTGTTCCCGCTGTCCATGACGTGCATCCGCCTTTCACACCACAGGCCGGGCCAGCCCAGCTCAGCTCCAAGAATGTGAGTTGTCCCACCAACTGCAATAGGCTTTTTTGGGGAGCATGAGGTTCAGCGTACGCCCGGAATCACGGCAGGTCTTCTGCTGCTGGTGGTTTTGGTTTGTTTTTGGTTTTTTTTCCCCAGTGGAGTCTCCCTGCTTGCATTTATTTTGTTTTGTTTTGCTTTATTTTATTTTTGCTATATTTTATTTTGCTTTATTTTCCTTTATTTTCTTTTGCTTTATTTTCCTTTATTTTATTTTGCTTTATTTTATTTATTTATTTTGAAGGACAGATACTGGGATTGTGGGAATTCTTTTTGCACTGGAAGCTGTCGGCATTGTGGGGAGGGAGGGCAGCAGCATGGGCAAAGGATACCAAGGGGGACCCGCTTGCTCCCCAGCACCCCAAATTTGAGCTGGCGCTCTCGGCATCCTCTCTCCTCTGGGTACCATTCCATCCTTCCCTCCCTTGTAATCGGATCTGGGAACAGCGGACCCAGAAATGGCTGGCCTGGTAGCTTGGATGTTTTAGGTTAAAAAATAATCTGTTGTTGCAAATGTGCTGAGTACAGAGAGTGCCTTGCCCTCTTATCTCTGGTTTGGTTATTGAAAGACTTGATTAACCCCAGAAGCCGTCAGGAGAGAAAATGTCCAGCGTGGTGGTTTTTTGTTTTTTTTTTTTTGTCCTGTGCTCCAGTTAATGGCAGGATTTGCATCGCATTTCCAACACGGGGGATAGTTAAATATCTGGCGATCGCTGCCTTCCCCAAGCGCCTGCCACAGCAGTCAAGCGAATGTCGGCCTTTCTGCAGGGCTCTGCTTCCTTCTTCCTGGAGGAAAAGCCAGCAGAGCTGGAGGAAGCTTCTCCCCTGGGACCCCTGCAGCCCCTGGGGCTGCACCAGTGCCCACCAGTGCAACCCAGCTGCTGCAGTGCCGCTACCTCCCACCTGCCCCAGCTAAAACACCCAGTTGAAACATATAAATATCTGTATCTGTATCTGTATGCATGTGAAATTAAGAACAAAACTGAGAACGCAGCCCAGCAAAAATGGGATCCTCTGTATTATGAAATTGCACCAGGTTTTTCCTTCCAGCTGCCCGCTCTGTCGCTCAGGTGGGTTTTCACCGCCTGGTCCCGCTGTGATTTGCAAAGTGCCCGAGTGAGTTCCAGCCTGATCCAAACACGTGGAGCAGAAGGTAACAGCTCTGTGCAGTTCAGCCTGGCATCCCCTTTTTATTTATATTATATTATATTATATTATATTATATCATATTATTCTCTTCTGTTCGGGTATGGTAGTCTGGCATCCCCTTTTTATTTATATTATATGGTATTATATTGTATTATATAATTATATTATATTATATTATAATCTTATTCTTCTTACAGAATTGGCTTTTTGAACCCTTTTGATGTATTTTCCTCTGCTTTATCATGCCCCCACAACCCCTTCGGAGGCTCCCCTGACCAGAGGCAGCGGGTACAGGCAGGGTCCTGCCCTCGGCCACTGCCCCGCTCTCACCCGGGGAGCTGCCGGCGTTTCCCATCATGGG